AACCTCTTATTCTTTTTCTTTTTCTTAAAAGATTCTTAAATCTTTTTCTTTTAAGATTTATTTATTTATTTATTTATTTATTTATTTATTTATTTATTTTAGAGAAAGAGAGAGCATGCGCTCAAGGTGGGGTGCGGGGGCAGCACGGGCAAAGGGAGAGGGAGAGAGAATCCCAAGCAGAATCCATGAGGAGCACAGATCCTGATGGAAGGCCCTATCCAATTACCCCAACATCAGACCTGTGCCAAAACCAAAAGTTGGAAGCTTAATGGACTGTGCCACCCAGGCACCCCTCTTATTCTTTTTAACTCATCACAGAATTAAGTACACAAACTTAAATGAACAAAATTCCAGAATATAACAAACTACCTTTTCATATGGGAGAAAAAACCTGAGGCTATTGTCATCCCTAAAAAATAGCAGAATGATAAAGTAAGCAGACAAACCCATAATAAGAATTTAAAAAGCAAAGTATGGGTAAGCATGACAGGTAAAAACTCAATGGAAGTACTGACACAATACTGGACAGCACCCACCTGAAAACTCTTTCCCAGAGGTCTTCTACATACTCAGTGGTTGAATACCACCAGCTGGGACCAAGCAGGGGAACAACCTAGATTTCTATATCTAACAAAAATATCTGTCAAAAAATGAAGGCAAAGTAGACTTTTTTAGAAAAACTAAACCTGAAAAAATGTGTTACCAGCAGACCTTCACTAAGGGAAAAGTTAAAGGTAGTTCTTCAAGCTGAAAGAAAATGCTACCAGATGGAAGCTTGGACCCATACAAGGTAACGATGAGTACTAGAAATGGTAAATATGTGAATAAATATCAAAGACATTTTTTATGTATTAACGTCTTTAAAAGATAACTAAGGAGTGAATAGAAAATTCACTAAAAAAATTTGAAAATGATGCTCAAACATGAAAAATATTCAATCTAACTCAAATCAGAGAAATTGAAATACAAACAATATTAAGATATCATTTCTCATCTATCAGACTGGTAAAAGAACGCAAGACAACAAATTCTGTTGGAGAGGCTGGGGGAACACTCTCATATACTGCTTGTGGTAAAGAAAATTGTTATATCCCTCTGGAGAGAAATTGGCAGTTTTTAACAAAACCACATATGCACTTACCTTTTGACTCAGCAATTCCACTGCTAGGAATGTACAAGTGTTTTCTCCCATTGCATAGGTTGCCTTTTCATTTTGTTGATCATTTCTTTTGACGTGCAGAAGTTTTTTAGTTTGGTGTAGTCCCCTTATTTATTTTTGTTGCTTGTGCTTTAAGTGTCATATACAAAAATCATTGCCAAGACCAATGTCAAGCAGCTTTTCCCCAGTATTATAGTCCTTCCAGGAGTTTTATGGTTTCAGGTCTTACATTTGCATATTTAATCCATTTCAAGTTAATTTCTGTGGGTGGTATAAGACAAGGGTCTAGTTTCACTCTCTTGCATGTGATTATCCAATTATCTCAGCACCATTTATTGAAGATAATGTCATCTTTATTGAGTGTTCTTGAGTCTCTTGCCAAGTGTTAGTTGAAGTTATATGGATGAATTTATTTTTGGGCTCTCAATTTTATTCCAGTCATCTGAGTCTGTTTTTTTGGCCAGTACCATACTGTTTTGATTACTATAATTTTGTGATATAGTTTGAAATCAGGACATGTGATGCCTCCAGCTTTGTTCTTCTTTCTCGGGAAGGCTATTCAGGGTCTTTTGTAGTTCTGCACAAATTTTAGTATTATATTTTCTATTTCAAGGAAAAATGCCAGTGAAATCTTTCTTTTTTCCTTCATAGGAATTGCACTGAATCCATAGATTTCTTTGGATAGCATACCCCTTTAAAAAAATATTTTTCCAGGGCGCCTGGGTGGCTCAGTTGGTTAAGCGACTGCCTTCGGCTCAGGTCATGATCCTGGAGTCCCGGGATGGAGTCCTGCATTGGGCTCCCTGCTCGGCAGGGAGTCAGCTTCTCCTTCTGACCCTCCCCCCTCTCATATGCTCTCTCTCTCTCTCTCAAATAAATAAATAAAATCTTTGAAAAAAATTATTACTATTTTATTATTGTTGATGCTATTGCAAATGGATTGTTTTCTTTATTTCATTTTCATACTACAATTTACTGTTAGTGTATAGAAACACTACTGACTTTGTAGCCTGCAACTTCGTTGAATCCATGGATTAAATCTATGTTTCCTGATGGAATCTTTAGGATTTTCTATAAATAAAATCATGGTCTTTAAACATAGACAATTTTACGTCTTCCTTTTTGATTTGGTTGGCTTTTATTTTTTTTTCTTGTCTCATTGTTCTGGCTAGGGTTTCCATTACTATGTTGAGTAGGAGTGATGAGAGTAGGCACCCTGGTTTTATTCCTGGTCTTAGGGTAAAAGCTTTCAATCTTTCACCAATGAGTATGGTGTTAGCTCTGGACTTGTCCTATATGGCCTTTATTATGTTGAGTTATGTTCCTTCCTTACCCAATGTGTTGAGAGTTTTTATCATGAATCGATGTTGAATTTTGTCAGATGCTTTTTCTGCATCTATTCAGATGATCATATGATTTTTTATCTTTCATTCTATTAACCTGGTGTTTCATTTATTAATTTGTATATGCTGAGCCATCCTTGCATCTCAGGGATGACTCCTACTTGATCATGGTACATGATCGTTTTAATGTTCTGCAGAATTCAGTTCGCTAGTATTTTCTTGAGAATTTTTGCATCTATATTCATCAGGGATAGTGGCCTGTAGTTTTCTTTTCTTGTGGGGTCCTTATCTGGCTTTGGTATCAGAGTAATGCTGCCTTTGTGAATGAGTTTGAGAGTATTCCCTCCTCTCTGGTTTTCTGGAACTGTTTGAGAGGATTGACATTAATTCTCCTTTAAATGTTTGGTAAAATTTATCAATGAATCCATCTGGCCCTGGGCTTTTTGCTGTTGTTGGGAGGTTTTGTTTTGTTTTGAGAGAGAGAGAAAGAGCACACAAGTTGGGGGGCGGGGAGCAAAGGGAGAGAGGGAGAGAGAATCTTAAGCAGGCTCCACACCCAGCATGGGCTAATCTCACAACCCTATGAGATCATGACCTGCCCTGAAATCAAGAGTCAGACATTTGTGACTGAGCCACCCAGGCGCCCCCAGGGAGGTTTTTGATTACTGATTAAATCTCTTTAGTTTTAGTAGAAGTCTCTTCAGATTTTTATTTCTTCATGATTCAGTCTTGGTAGGTTGTATGTTTCTAGGAATATACCCATTTTTCTAGCTTGTTCAATTTGTTGGTGAATAGTTGTTCATAGTAGTCTCTTATGTTTGTTTTTGTATTTCTGTGCTATCAGTTATACTATCTCTTCTTTTACTATTTTATTTATGTGGGTCCTCAGTTTTTATCTTGTTTAGTTAAAGTTTTGTCAATTTTGTTTATCTTTTTAAAGAACAAACTTTTAGTTTTATTGATCTTTTTGATGGTTTTCCTGTTCTCTCTTTTACTTATTTCCACTCTGATCATTATTATTTCTTTCCTTCAGCTAATTTTGGGCTTAGTTTGCTCCTCTTTTTCTAGTTCCTCAAGGTGTAAAGTTAGTTTATTTGAGATATTTTCTTTTTTCTTGAGATACACATTTAATGCTGTAAACTCCCTCTTAGAACTGCTTTTGCTGCATCCCATAAGATTTGGTATGACAAATTTTCATTTGTCTCGAGATTTTTTTTCCTTTGAATTTCTTCTTTGAGCCATTTGTGGGATTCTGGTCAAGCAGGGCTGGAGGCTATATTCAGCTGTAGCCAGGACTTCAAATTTGCTTTCCAGCCTAGGCAGGTCTATAGAACAGGCTTTATTGCTGGTATGGCTTATAGCTGGGGACCCAAATCAGGCAAAACTAATCACCAACCTCCCTGGCCAGACATGGCCACCAGATTGGCTCTGTTAATGGACAGAGCCACTAGCTAGGCTCTCTGCTCAGACATCACTGCAAGTTGGGCTGTAAGGTGAGCCACATAGCCTCCCACTTGCTCTGGTTAGGCTTCATGATCAGGCAGGCATGAGGACTATATTCAGCAGTAGCAGGGATGTGAATCCACTTCTGTTCCCAGGCGAGGTGACAGAACAGGCTCCAAGGCCAGCATGGCTCATTGGTTGGAGGCTTAAATCAGGCAGATCTGCCCACCAAGTTCCCTGGTTGGACAAGGCCACTGGCTTGGATCTGTAAGTGGACCAAGATCTTGGCTGGGCTCTCTGCTCAGATGCTATTGCAAATAGTGCTATAGGATGAGCTATGTACAGTCTTAGGTGCTCTGGTTAGGCTTCCTGGTCAGATAGGACTGGGGGGTATGTTCAGCAGCAGATGTGACTTCAAACTTGTTTTGCTGCCCTGGGAGAGCAGTAGAACAGGCTCCAAGGCCACTAAAGCTCATTGGCTGGGGACCAAAAACAGGCAGATCTGCCCACTCAGCTCCCTGGAAAGACAGGGACACCAGCTTGTCTCTGCAGATGGAGAAAGCCACTGGCTGGGCTCTCTGCTTGAGTGCTGCAATAAGCAGGGCTATAGGATGGGTTATGTAACATTCCAAGTTTTCTGGTTAGGCTTCCTGGTTAGGTGGAACTGAGGGCTATCTTCAGCAGTATGCAGGGTTATGAATTTGTTTCCCTGCCCAAGTGGGGCTGTAAAACAGGCCTGTATGTTTGGTTCACTGGCTGTGGACCTAAATCAAGCAAAACTGCACACCAAGCTCCCTGGCCAAACAGAGCCAGCAGCTCAGTTCTATAGACACACAGAGCAACTGGCTGGGCTCTCTGCTTGGATGCTTCCTGTGAGGCAAGACCTGAGTTAACTTCTTAGCATCCTGCTACACTGAAGGAGCTAGATGTCAGCCTTGGCTTCTCTTTTTCTCACTGGAGAAGCTGTAGGCCCCAGGAGGCCCTCTGGGTATAGCACCATGCCATGCCAACCTGGGGGTGGGGCAATTTGGGAACAGTAGAGCCATTCCTCCTACCCTTCTAATGTGGTCCTCTTCAGTATCTGTTGTCCAATAAACCACTTCCTCATCCCCAGGTTCTAGGATTTTCACAGTGGTGTCTTGTGTACGGATAGTTGCTAGTTGATCTTCCTATAAGGGAAACTGAAGTCAGGAATAACCTATGTCACCATCTTGATGATGTCACTCTTTTTTTGACTTAGCTAAATGCATATTGTATTTGCTTTCTTCTGATCCAGTGATTCAAAACATGTATGTTTCATTTTAATTACCCTAGTGGTAACCTTTAAGTTTTTTCAAAACATTTTTTTCAAATTCATCTAATTATCAGATTCACTAATGAATGAATCTTTCCAATATTCCCATATGTAAGAGAAGAGTGTATCTAGGTTATATAATCCAGATATTAATTTCTCTATTAGGCCCATAGTGCTTTTTATATCAGTTCCTAGTAAAACTTATTTGACATATTGATACTCACTGTTAAACAGGCATGAATACAAAAACAAATATTAAATGCTGATTTGCTATAAGGGAAACATGTGGAAGAAATGAAAACTTATTGTTTAAAATAAAACGTGCTTAAGAGACACTCAGTATTGGAATTTTGTTGTTGTTCCCTGTAATTTAACTAAGGATATAGAAAGAGAGCACATTACTTTTATTCTAACCTAAATTGAGGACACCAGTAGGGTGACTGCAGTTCAATATTCAAATAGCTGAATTTTCCTAGGGAAAAAAGGCTCAAGTTGACTTAACAAATTCCACTTATTGAAGGCACATTCTAAGCTTCATTTTCAGCTCAGACTCCAGAAACTGACTTAGTTAATTGGGACAATTAAGAATCACCGAGGGTATAATTGCCCCTTTCATTTTGCTTTGGGAGGAAAGAGAGTGATTTATCTCGGAAAACAAGAGCCTAGGGGCCTGCAAAGAAAGAAAATGAGAACATTTTGGTTAAAGAGGAAGATCAGGAAAGCTCTTTTGTAATCAACTCAAGAGATGATAAGCCTTCGGCTTCTCTCCAGGACATTGGAAATTATGGAATGTCTGGAATCGGTGGTTCTAAAAATCCTACAACCTATGGTCTATTTTGGCAAAGCAAAAGAGGCTGTCAGCTGTCTACATCAATTGGTCAGTGCTTAAAATACACACACACACACACACACACAAATACACATACATACACACACACATGAACACACAAATACACACATACACAAACAAATACACATACACACATACACTTACAAGAATGAATAGAAAAACTCATGCTGATGTAACTGGGATGACAGTAATATTATCACTCAAATTAGTAATGTAAAAATAAAACTAAATCCTAGACAAGAATTTTTGGAGAAATTTTTAAGCCATTCCTAAAAATGTTAGCTGAATATATATCATGTATATAGATCACATTATATAATTGCAGAGATCTAATTTTTGTAAATATCACACTTAAATACTATTAAGGCTTCAATAATTTTTTTCTTTTTTTTTAATTTTTTTATTCTTATGTTAATCACCATACATTACATCATTAGTTTTTGATGTAGGGTTCCATGATTCATTGTTTGTGCATAACACCCAGTGCTCCACGCAAAATGTGCCCTCTTTAATACCCATCACCAGGCTAACCCATCCCCCCACCCTAAGGCTTCAATAATTTTGAGTCTAGTTTTCTGTGACACATATCCATAGAGATATTTGAAGATGTGAACTATAAATATTTTATTTATGATTCTACTATTAAAGCATTATCATATTTTGTTTATTGTTATTTTAAGGCATAGTCCCTAAATTTTCACAAGTGGGCTGACCATATGAATCTGGAAAAGATAAGGAATCTGTCATAAGAATCAGCTATCTTCTGTATTTGCTGTGTCTACCTGACACCAAAGTACAAAATTTAGTCAGATGTTCCACTATTTTGTCTACCCAAGGCCACCCATCTGGCCATGGAATCTGCCCGTGTCACATTGTTTTTCTCAAAAGGAATATTTGCTTAATAACAATAAAAGATTATTTTTATCTTCCATTTTGAAAACATTGGAATGTCTTCTAGTCTTTTCTTGGATCCATTTCAATTTTATTTTAGGAAGTTACAAACCACAGAGCAGGTTTGATAGCATTTGACTCTTGGTTTGTTAGACCAAATTAAAATAATTTAAGTAGGAAACAAAATGGATTTTTCTTATGACCACTTTGAGTATTCCATGCAAGCCGTAAATTTGAAAAACTGGCATAAACATTTAGCTAAGGCTTATTCTGCTTTGATCTTCCTGGCTCTGCCCTTGATCTAAGCAGAAATATGAGAGATGCTCTGTGTCAAGGTATGAAAAATGACATGAGAAAGGAGGGAAAATTAGATCTATATTAGCTCTGAAGACTGAGGAAAGGAAAGTGTGAAATTGGAAAAGGCAGAATTTCTGCAGCCCATCCCTCCTGCCAAGTCATCTGTCCCAGTGAAAGGGGACCTTCAAGTGAACTCTTTGAAGGCCTCCAGGCAAATTTCTTAGTCTGTTCATGAGAACTCCTCATCTCCAGAGAAGGCCATATTTAAATTCCTAGGTCTGTCTTCAGCAAATGCTTGATGTAGAAAATTAAAGTTTGCTGTTAAACCTTGGTCAGTCTGTCATAACTTTGCTGTAATTTAAGTATCATTTTGATTTTAACAGGAACTAAAAATGTGTTAGATATCCCTGTAGTCACATGGCACCACATCACTATTTCTTTTATAAATATCCCTTCCAAAAATATTCATACAGAATCACTAGACTAATCAATTGTTTCGGCCTTTTCTCTTACCAAAAAGGAACACAGACTTGATAATAACCATAGTCCACCCTATGCTATATAAGGTAAGCAGCCACCAGGAAGTATAACTTGAGTGTCCTTAAAATCAGAGCTCTGTGTGCAAACCTAAAATGTCAGCCATTTATGCTTTAGGAAATTAGTATGGAGTAAATTCACCTAAAAATCTCCACTAAAATGGGTGGATCACCAAAAATCAGTTTTCTAGTCCTTGCTCATTAACACTTTGGCCTAGAGTCATTTATCAGAAAATATAGTTTGAATCTCGAACCCTGAACAAATGAGATGCAGTGAAGATGGGGAATGTTGCAGTTACAAACATATGGGAAGAAAGATCATCAAGAAAAGGGATATGGTGAAGGTGGTAGCTAAACACAGCATGTTTGGTTTAATAGTGCCAGTGGTTGAAAGTGGAGAAGATAATTAGGAAGAATGCATTGAACCAAATTCACCTTCACAGGATTGTCTATACTTTTTCAGCTTTGAGTGGACTCTTCTCTTCCCTAAAGTTGTTATGAAACTGAAAGTAACCTAAAATGAAATTATTTCTTTAATATTGTTTTAAATCCCCTAAGCAGAGATGTTAGATTTTGGTACCACTTGTAAATTCAAAGCAGTGGGTTTTTAATTTCCTTTAAAGACAAGATATAAGTAATAACTACATTTTTGAAAATTGCTTAGAAATGTACTCATGTCATCTCATCCAAATTTTAGAAAACCAATATGTTCCTAATTAAAAAAAAAAATTGTGACCACCCCCCCTTCCCTGATCTTAGTGGCTGGCTTAGTAAATTCTGTTAGGTTTTCAACTGCTTTTGAGACATTGGTATAAAGCTGCCTTGAAAATCAAGTAGGCTACAGATGTTATCAAATCTCCAAAATAAAAATATGTCCAAAGAGTCTACTTAGACATGAAGATGACAAGGTTTATATTCTATTTTTTCCTCCTAAAGGATAAGCCAAGATATGACAAATACTGATTGTGATAGAATGGGAGAGCGTAAGAGTGGAGTATCTTCTACTTCTGAGTTATCGTCTACTTCTACATAATCCGTCACTCTTTTCATCTATATTTTTAGGTATTGCAACCTCCAACAAAATTCTCTTAATTCTTCTCATGAAAAATTAAATTTAGCTTGCCATTCTAGTGGAGGAAAATTTTTTCCTCTACCCATCTTAAATTCTTGGCTGGGGCTCTATAACAAATGACAGATTAAATAAGAGAAAAACAAGAGTTTTATTAACCAGCATATTTCATATATACATGGGAGAAATGCAGAGATGAGTAACTCAGAGTAGTTAGAGCTTGGGTTTCTATAGCATCTTAGCAAAGGAACAATAAATTTTTAGACAAGTGACAAGACAAAAGACTGTGAGTCTCTAGGGGCAGGAGATTGTGGGCAGGCAAATATATGAGAAACTAATGGTAAATAAAGGCTAGTTAGTAAAGTCTCCAGGCTGATAAAGGTTGTCTCTTGTGATTAACTTGTGTCCTTTCTGGTAGAGGGGGACACCTTTGTAAATTTATGTCCTACTTATAGGCAAATAAGGGGAGGACAGAGGATTTTTGGTTTTTTTTTTTGTTTTTTGTATGTTTGTTTTTTTAAAAATTGTTCTTCAATTGCCTTAGTTCAAAAAAATCCGTATGTCAAAGTGGCATATTTTGGGGTGACAAATTCTGCTACCCTTCACAATGAAGGCTGCCTTTCTGCACTCACACAATGTCTTTAAAGTCTTTTGAACACTGAATTCATTGTGTACTTTCATCTATGCGAAGTTGGGAATATGGAGAGAACTAGTATTTGTTGCATTTTTTTAAAGAATTTATTTATTTATTTATTTATTTATTTATTTATTTATTTGAGAGAGAGAGAGCACTATCGGGGGAGGGGCAGAGGGAGAAGCAGACTCCCCGCTGAGCAGGGAGCCGCTGTGGGACTCAATTCTGGGACTCCGGGATCATGACCTGTGCTGAAGGCAGGCACTTAACTGATTGAGCCACCCAGATGCCCCAAATTGCATTATTTTTTCTTTCATTTGAAGAAGAATAACTTTTGCCAACACTTTAGTAGCTACAATTTCTGTTCTCCAATATTTTAAATTATTTATTTCCAATTGATTTGCCTTATTAATTAGAGTGAGGGAACAGTTGTCTCAAGTAGCAATTAATTAAGTTTATCCAACAGACATTAAGTACTCTAAGGGAAGGGAATCAACATTTACTGAGTTTCTACTATGGGTCAACCATTAAACTTGGCACATTAAATATATTAATTAATTCTTATAACCATCTCGTGAGATAGGTATTTGCCTCCATT